CCCTTTCCTATCCTGCACTAATCTTTTCATTTGTACATACATAACTACTCTTGCCTACGGCCCTAACTATTTGGCCTATGTATCTAAGCCTCTGTCCCCCTGCCCTCTGCCCTACCTTCTATAGCTAGCTGTACTAATCCTCCGTGTCTGAGCACATCACCCATTATTCTCCACATTTCTATATTTTCCTGTACTAGCTCCAACACTGCTTCCTTTGTTACCCTGTCCATCCAGCTAATCCTCATTATCCTTCTATAGCACCACATTTCGAATGCTTTTGTCTTCCCTGCCTATCGTTCAGGTTTCGCACCTGTATGTACGTTTTTAGTAGGATTTTCCTAGTTCCTATATTTATCCCGGATCTTGGCAGGTCCCGCTTTTGTTCAAATGCTATATAATTTTTTTGAAACACGCAATAGTAGGTACATTACGTGCCAAGCAGGAAAGTAGCGTATTTTTGTGGTACTATTCTGAGAAAAATAAGCATTCGCCGAGGTTCGTATACTATGTTATACAACACATTCATAATAACTGATATTATGTAAATATTACTAAAAATGAAGCAGGTAATTAAATATCATGATTTGTTAATGTCATTTTGCTGTTGTTTATGTCCCGTCGTTAAAACACATCCGAATTTTATTCACTTTTGTTGATTTACTTGTACAAACGTTTGTATAACAGAAATGTACCTAATTTAATTAATTTGTAAACAAATACAGTAAACGAGCTCCTGGTTGTAGGTATATAGCTTGGTGTTGTATGACTAAAGCTACGCTCATTTTGAATTTCATGCAATTCTGTTCATGACTAACAGTTGTCAAAAGGACCTTCTTTATTTTTTGGCCTACATTGCTAATTCACGAACTCCGATTTACAAATTTGATCATAGCCCACCTGCAAAATTTCATTGTAATCGATCCATTCGTTTTTGAGATATCGTGCTAACGGACAGACGAACAGAGATCGCTAAATAATGAACTCGCTAGGAAGTCGTTAAAGTAAAAATAGAATAGATACCTAGCACTAGCTACCTACAAGTACATTTATAGGTTAAGTACACTGCAGATAGGACTTTATAAGAATGCTTCTTTCAGATTTTAATTACAGGGTATTACAGCTAGATACACACAATAACATTTTACACTTCTCTTTCCTAATACAAAATAATACTCGTAAATGCATCAGGAAATTCTTCTTTGTAACTTTGTATGTGTCTGCGAGTCTGCACCGATTGAAATAATTCAGGTAAATATGATGCCACCCATCATACACTGCACTAAAAGTATGATCTAAAATGAACACTTGTGAGATATGTTACCTACTTGCCAGTATCATGTTTTCATGAAGACAAACCCTATGGGAGTTACAATTCAGCTCAAATATACAGGGTGATTCCTATAGTACCTGCCACCGTTTGGGAGCGTATAGGGGGTGCCTAGGGGAGTATTTTGATATAGGACACTTGGGGTCGGAAATCTAAAATAAGGGCGCAAGAACCAAATTTATCTTCTGGAATTTCACGCCTGTATGTAGGCAACCCAACCGACCGACGTTTCGCGCGGAGCGATGCAGAGCGAGTTAGCGCGAGGAAGCGACATGGGAGGGAAGGAGGGAAAACGACAGTCCAAAGCAATAACGTTTACAAGTGTTCAACGTGGCCACCGTTGTTCTCAATGCACTTCCTACATCTAGCCAACTATTATTATACTATTGCCATAGTGTTTATTCACTTGATACGCGTCGTTGCAGACGGGATTTCGTGGGGTTAAACAAAATTCTGATCAAGTGTCAGCCACACATCGCCGCCTGAGATCGCTCCGTGTGCACCGCCGGCCGGTTGGGTTGCCTACCTACAGGCCCGAAATTCCAGAAGGTAAATTTGGCTCTGGCACCCTTATTTTAGATTTCCGACCC